GGCTAAGGTCCATTCCCGCGCGCACGGACGACCCAAAGTGAATCTCGATGGACGGCCCAGATTGATCGTGATGAACGATCCAGATTCACTTTCTATTTAATCGCGATCGGACGGTCCAGATCAAACGCGATGGACGATCCAGATCAAAAGCGGATGAATATAAATAACCTCATCCGCACCTAAGCCCTAACCCTACCAGCCAGAACCTCTCGCCGGAGAAGACAAACCAGCCGCCAAGGAGCAGACCGCTGCCACCCGTCGTCGCACCGGAACCCTTTTCGACCGTCAAAAAAGGTAAAAATTTCTCATTTTGCACAAAATTCAATTTTAAGCCCACCCATGGCCAAATCGAAGTGAAAGAACCGGCCAATTGGCCGAAAAACACCGACGAAGCCCGGCGGCACCGTCGTGGAGAATTTCACAAACCGCCTTTGATGAGGGCCTTCCCGATTCCCGTTTCGTGTAATTTTTCTACCGTTGTGATCACTGTTTTCTTCTCTATAAGTTGATCAAAACGAAACACCCAACCGTAACGTGAGCCGGAGGAGTCGCCACACCGAAGAGTCCCGCCGTCGGTGAGTTTCAGTTTTTCATATTTTTTCGGTCCACCGATGCCTTTTAGGGTGTGTGCTCGCAGGAATCGATACAAAATCGACCGAATTCGGCCAAAAATGACTGAAAATGGTCAACCCGAGGTGAACTGCCATCGCGGGTAGCGGCGCCATCACCAGAGCACGACGGAGCCACCGTGCCAGATTTTCAAAATTGGTCGAGCGGGCTCTGGGACTGATTTTGGGTTTATTTGGAACATTTGTAGGTATTATAAGCGTATTTCAGTTCCCATAGAAAAATTCAGGGAAGTCAAGGATCGCCCGTAGGCGCAGTAAATCGTTTAGCTTTTTGGCGTCAAATAGAGTAAGGACCCCTCACCCTATTCCTTATCATAGAATTGAAGTTTAAATAAATGATAATACAGTATTTTGTACAAATTAAATAAATGTGCATAATTAATTACGGATTGCTAATAGAGCCCGAACCGGATATTGTTCTCTATTGATTTATTTTACAGTCTAAAAGTATGTTAGTATCTGATTTATCTATTTTATTATTTAAATGCATGTATTACTGCCTTACCTGACTATCATTTGATTTGGAATTTGAGACATGATTGCATTACCAGATGTATGTTTATTTATTTATGTGATTATGTTTGATTAAGTAATGAAGACTAAAGAAAAACAAGAAATGGGTGTGATCAAATAAACAGATAGAATGATAGCCTTACTAGATATCTTGGGAGATGGTGGACGAATCGGGTATACAGGGAACGCTACCGTGAACGTTGTCTCATATCGGACGGGGTATGGAGACTTTGTAACTTGGTGCTCATATCGGACGGGGTATGAGAACTGCCCGTTTCACCCTCATACTGGACATGGTATTGAAGTTTAATGTTTTGACACTCATATTGGACGGGGTATGGGGATGACCCTATAATTGATATTGTTAAGGAAAATGGTTCACGTGTAGTGGGGACACCCCTATGAACCTCCATGGATACTAGTAGGCTGGTGAAATGAGAAACAGTTATGATTTGGTGTATTGTTAATGGATATGAATTTATGATATGTTTTATGTTGCTGATTGTTCATGAAGTTATAATTTGTATGGTATTATTATCTTTATAGGTTGTTTTTATAAATTCCGCTATGATAAGTGTGTTTTGATTTTATACCAACATTTACTTCTTTGTCGGTGATATAGTGTGATATCATTACTGGGATAGTATAGTTTATGCTTTATTTAACAATTTTAGATCAAGAGTACCTAGTTTCAGAGTCTGATCCGCAAGAAGATTGCGAATAGATGCTAGATACTTTCTATTTTCCATTACTTTTCTTATTTCTCGTGTTTTTTTTCATAGTACTCATTCTGTAATGTTGTTTAGTACTTTTAAATTATTGTGTAAGGAATGTGAACCTTAACATTTTATTTCGTTTCTGCACTTAACTTATTATATATTCTCTTTTGGATTTACATGATCGTTACATAGCATATTCCTTTTTATTTGTTTTCTTGATTTTGTTTATTCTTTTAAAATGATTATTCCTCTAATCTTATTGAGAATTTTAAATTATTGTATAAGAAATATAAACTCTAAGCTTTATTGTTTCGTTTTCAATTTAATTCATGACTTTATTTCCTTTTAAGTTATGGATCTCTATATATTTTGTATATCTCTCTCTCTACCTCTCTCTCTGTATATATCCACGCAATCATCCTCCCATCTCCTCTAGCCACTTACATATATATATAATTTGTTTCTAAATTTTCTTAAAGACTTTACATTTTCTTCAAATTTTAAAAAAATAAATGAAGTTATCAACTTTAGATGTCATTTTGCAATTCGATTGGACCCATTAGTTCGTAGTAATTGTTTTTCGATTTGGACAATAAATTCCACAAATTCAAGAGCAATCTTGTCCAAGAAAAAACAATGGTTTACCTTTGGGTCTAAAAATTAAAATAATGAAATAATAATAATATTTTATGCCACCTGCCAGAAATTTTGACCTTGTTATTGTGATTAGAGTGTTTGGTAAACTAGAAAGTTGTCTTAAATGGAAAATTTTAATCCCATGTCCTTATTTTATTCGAGCTGTCAAACTCTAGTGTTTGCGTTCCGTGCGTGTGTATATATATATATGTATGTACACACATACATACACACACACACACACGTATATACATATATGTTCGTCAAGTGCGGCTGTGACTTTGTTATGGATACTTTTAATTGGTTACATCCAACGAGCAAAACATGGTAATCATCGAAAATTACTTGCTAAAAATTTGGGTCATTTTATTTCTCAACTAAATATCTCAGCGAGAGACTATATACTTTACAGGTTTTTATTTGATTTAAGTTAAACTAACTAATTAAATGCATGTAAACTAACTTGGTTACTCCCCTTACCAAAGAAAAAAAATGATTTAATAAATTTATTATTATTATTATTACTACTTGACCACAAATATATATTCAATAATAAAATTTAGGTGCAATATAAAAATTAATTTGAATTTTTATTAATTTCTGAATAAATTAAATATGAATTTATAAGTAAATTTTGAGACAATTAATTTCTACTGTAAACAATATTTTCTTAAAAATATATGTAAAATTTAAATACTTTCTGAACAATTCATTAATACGTGCGTGTATATTACGAATATAAATATAATTAAAGATGAACATGTGACTTTGAACGATTCGTGCCGTGGGATTAAGACTACACAATAGACCATCTTAATCACGTATGGAAAATAAAAATGCCCCAAATAATTAAAATAAATCTAAAATTTTAGTAATAAAATATATTTCTTTAACCGAGATATTTGTGATTTAATAATTACGGTGTACATTACATGTTACATTTAGAAAATTAAGCATTAGGGGTTGATTTA